GGAACTGAGGTCTATCTTCCTGAGAGAGCTTGTCCTTAAAATCCAACAACAAGCATGATTAATGAAGTTGTATTTAGTTAGAAGGGCCTGATAACTTGACATTCCAAATTGGAGAGATGGGGAAGAGAAGACTTTTCTCCTTAGGAGGCTGAGCTGTTTAACACCCTTGTCCAAGGATATAGTTTTGGAATATTGCATTGGATCTTTTGGTAGCTGCTTGTACCCACCAGAGAGTTGGGCCATGTGCAAGAGAATAGAAACTCTGCCCCCTTACATGGAATGAAGTAGCATATCTCAGCTCTCTTTGCATTCGGAGCGCAAGAAGCGGGAGTGTGCCACACTGTTCTAGCTGTATTCACGATGGCCCCATTTATCGTGAAGGCCTCTCAACAGGGACTTGAGGGTTGCAAGATGTCCAGAAATCTATGTTAGGGCTCTTGAATCTTTTCAAGCTGTATCTGGAGCTCAGACACCACCCCTTGTAGGAATTCCTGATATTGCTTGTGGTCATCTGGCAGAGATGGTAAAGATGGGGTAACTGCTTCATTTGGGGAAGATCATGACATTGCTCCCAAATCATCAGAAATGTCAGATCCAGTTCAACTTCATCTTCCTCATACGCTGATGGGGCCAATTGGTGTTGGCCAGGAGATGGTAAGTAAGGCTCACGTACTGATCCCAGAAGCATAAAGTAGGCATCCCAAGGGCCCCAATGACCCCAGCATAAGGAATCAAGTGGCTGAGGAAGACCCCATGGCACAAGGTGGCACCTGGGTCTTGGAAAATCATATCTGGTTGGAGAATGGAACCCCATTCTAAGGGCCAGTTTCTAAATGATAAGATTAGGGCCCTTCTGGAACTTCCGACTCAACGGATGAAAAAGTCTGATCCTGAACTACCAGTATAACCAACGGTACCGGTGATTGGGTACTCAGGCTTGTGGGTGGCAGAGAAGAGCAGATTTGTATCCTTCTCTGGAGTAACCATGTCTCTGAATAAAAAAGGACACAAGGGGGGAGGATGATGATAGGGGACAGCAAAAATGTCCTTTGGAAAGACATAGGTCTCCAACCACCCTAGGGTTTGGTGGGAGTTGGTGGAACTGTTGGAGCTGATGCTTCCTTGGTCACAGTGGAAGTTGGATCCTGCCATGGCCATGACTACATTGGTACAGGGTCTGATCTGGATGTCCAAGGGATGTCTGCCTTTCAGTTTACACATTGGAACCAATACCAGAACTGATGTATCTGTGCTCCTTTGCACCACTTCCTCCTGCTGAGGAGGTTTACTTGGGTCTAAATCTTCAGAACCCATGCACAAAGACTCTCCCAACTTTGAAGAATGCAGACAAAGAAGAATCTCTTGTCTTCAGGGAAGCTTTGGAAAAAGATTGGTTTCTATGCTTGTGAGACGCCCCTTGCTCTCATGAGAAGCCTTCTCCTTAGGCTTGGAAGTCTTAGCTTTGACTCCTGAGCTTGTGCTCAGAGGAACACTTCTTGTTGACTGAGGCCCATGTACTTGGGGGGAGGGAGGAGGCATGGTGTGTGTCTCCATGGCCCAGATCTGATTGGGGTCTCATGGTCTTCTCCATCAGTTATTTCAGCCTTATAGCTAAGTGCTATAAGTGCCGGGTATTCATGTTAAAGTTCACCCAGTGTTTAAGTAAATAGGCTACTTTTTAAGACATTCTATAAGACGTTAGTGACTTCCTGGCATCTGTGTTCTACCATCACTATGCTGCTTAGCAGGGTCTTTTATTCTGAAAAGCACATTTATTGAAAACACCTCTTTGTTATCTATGATGGCTATCAATTGATTAAAAAAAGGATGGGGAGTCCTGCTGCTCTTTATCAGAAACTTTTCTTTGTTCCCACAAAGAACTCTGCAAGCTTGGCTGAGTTCTGTGCTCTTTGAGTCAGAAGAATCTTTTATATTTACATCAGCCCTTGTGTTCTGGAGAGGGACAATAAAAGAAAGTACAGTCCCTATTGAGGAGTATGTTTTCTTGTTCTCTGGAAGGAACATTTCTGAAGTGTCAAGACTCCAAGTTTTTCAGCAATTAGATACTAGAGATGAAGAGACCATCCCTTTAAATGGGACTCCTTTCTGAGGGCACTGAAGATGCAGGAGACTGGCTCTTGCAGTGCTATATCTGGGGGGAGAGGGAACTGTGGTGGGAAACAGCTTGACAACTCCATTTATTCTGCACCGAGTGATATAAAGGGTAAGGGATATAGAAATTTATCCATGCAACTGTCCAATGGACAGGCTGACATAGTGGGTGGGAAATGGATCAACTACCACCCTTGAATCCTGAAGATTCACTGCCCCCAAACTGTGGCAAAGCTTTAGGGTGGTTGGGGGTGAGTGGGTAAATAATAGTACTCGTGCCTGGAAACACAGGATGAAAAGTAAGCTAAAGAGAAATATCTTCTCTGTCCTGTATGAAGTTATGTAAGATTGACTCTGAGGGTTCTGAGGACAGGAATAGTCCCTGATGCCAATTTTTCCTCACATGTAGATGGACAATGGAGAAGGTAGAAGTAGCTTGTTTACTTAAACACTGGGTGAGCTTTAACAGGAATACCCGGCACTTAGAACTTTACATGTTCAAAGGGCTCTTGTAACAATATATACACATTACTTGCGCGCGCACACACGCACAGAACATTGTTAAGGTTGCAAAGTCAAGCACTCAAAAGTTAGGCAATTCCAGAATTAAGGTTGCCTTAATTCAGCCCTCTTGTGAATAGGCATTATTATAGGGACTTGAATTACACAAATACATGCTCTTTTTTCACACAGAACTCCTGCCTTATTCAGTGCACAGACAATGAATCAGTGTTGTGTAATGAATGAGGTTGTTGTCTGTCAGATCCTTACTTCATTTTTTGCAGAAGTTGGAATGTGTGTGGTGAATGAGGCAGACCACTCCAAGAAGAGAAAGGATGGTTTCATGGTGAAGGCAGCTGAAGGCTGCCATGGGGAAAATGGATTCTATACTTGCCTCTGCCACAAAGTTCCTATGTGATGGCGGGCAAGTCACTTATACCAAACTTTTCACAGATGATCATTTATTGTGTGTTCCTCATTTTCTGGCTCCCCAACCTGAAACTTTGAGGTATGGTGTGAAGAAGTGCTGACATTGCAACTTTTAAAGTAAGTGTGTCTATGTGTCTACTCTCCTAGATTTTTCAAAAAAGCAAACTGAAAAAACACAAATTCCATCTGGTGGAATCACATTGACACCTACAAGGGTAATTAGCAGGGTTGGAACCTTTAGATCCACTGCACAGATCTCTGTCACTTGACCTAACAGAGTTACTGATAAGAGTATCAGAGGGGTAGCCGTGTTAGTCTGGATCTGTAAAAAGCGACAAAGAGTCCTGTGGCACCTTATAGACTAACAGACGTATTGGAGCATTAGCTTTCGTCTGATGAAGTGGGTATTCACCCACGAAAGCTAA